CATTTCAACTTAACTGATTCTTCCAAGTTCTTCCTTGTGAACTGTGAAGTCTTTTTACATGAATATTTGCAAAACGGAGAGCTTAAACTTTAACAGCTTCTGATAATCTGCAGAATTCTATCAGAATACTTCTGAGTATGCACGTTTCACAAACTGAACTGTTATGCTAAAGTAACTGTGTTTTCCTTGAACTATCCTATATTCCTTTTTAGGAGACAAAATATATTTGTTTCTGACGCCAGTCAGGTCGCTTCCAAACTGCCCAAAACTTTTAATCTCTGGACTTCTCAAACTAAAACCAATTCTTGATTATCCTGAACCAAAAACAAGCTAATGGCCATCAATCTTCACCTACCTGTTGTAAATCACCATTGTAAAACAATTCTTCATTAACCCTCCAGGGGTTCCCTGCTCTCGCATACTTAACTGGATTAGGTTACTATTCTGAAAGGTATTTCAGACATGGATTTTTTTTAAAAATCCTTCACTAAATTAACCAACCCAATGTGCAACTGTTTTAAAATCCACACTCTCAAAATAATCAGCCATCTTTCATCTTAGTATTAGTGAAAAGATACATTGCACCCTGTAGCCAAGAATTCTTCAACAGCACCTTCCGAACCCAACTCTAAAGTCAAGGACATTAGGTCAACACTTGCAAAATCCCCCTCCTAGATGAACACTACTAAGATGAAAGTACATTGCATTCTTTCCGATGTCTCTGGGCCAAATATCTGAACTTCCATGCAAGTAGCACTGTAGAAGCAACTGATCCATGTGGAATATCACTGTAACAATCAGTAAGACTGAAAAAATGTGCGCTTGTACATAAGCACTGTCTTACAAGCCCTTTAGATTTAGAATTTTACTATGTTCTCTTGGGTCATATTTATAATATTCAAATTGGTAATGTTTCCGGTCATTTAAATCTACACCTGTACAAGGCATGTTCCCACGCATGTTCCCATATATACATTGCCAAATGAAGGAGACAGGATAAGAAGAAGTGAAGTTGACAGATGGAGATAACAAGGTGTAGAGCTGGATGAACACAGCAGGCCAAGCAGCATCAGAGCAGCAGGAAGGCTGCCGTTTCGGGCCTAGACCTTTCTTCAGAAAAGACCCTTTCTGAAGAAGGGTCTAGTCCTGAAACGTCAGCCTTCCTGCTCCTCTGATGCTGCTTGGCCTGCTGATTCTTTGTTTTTCTGGCTGTCTTAAGAGGTTTCAAACTGCGTTCTATATTTAAATAGCTTGATTTTGTTTCTTGTGTTTGATCTTTTTTGTAATAAAATTGCATTTTGTTCTTAAAGAAACTCTGCTTACTTTTAGTGCTACTTATATTGCATTTCTTGTATAGCTTTTGTTGAAATTACTGGAGGTAATTGGGAAAATATTTAGATGTAGTAAAGTATCAGAGTAATGTATATTTTGTTTAGCATGTATCATTAATGCTTCTTAAAATGAAAGAAATAAATAGACTTTGGAACCAGAGAAAATATTTAAATTGTTTTTAAAAACAATTTTAACATGTATTTTATTTCTAAACTTTCAAGTGGCAGTTTAAATAATTTTATATTGGGGATTTATGGTCATTGGCTTCCAGACCTTTTACTGGAGTAGTTTCATTAATGTGATGTCTAGACCTGAGACCTAAGGCAGCAGGGGACCCAGTTAATGCCATTTTTTTTCCCTTCTATTCAAGAAATGTGAATTGTCTTTATATCATAGTTAACTTGGACCAGATGGTTTGTTTTAATGCTTTTCATGTACAGTTTTGCAACATAACATTTTACTTCTTAGATTTTTGTCCTGCTTTAAGTCACAGTTGCAAAATAATTCACAACTGGCATGCCAGATCTGTGGGCAGTATATCCACAAAATAGACTGATATCAAACAAGATATTTTCTCTCTCATTCTTTGAATTTCTATTGTATCCTATTGAGTACATGAAAGTTGAGTTTTCTATTCTCTTCCGAAAAGGTTCCTTTGTATTTACATTTATAAAATGTTCTGCTCTCTAAACAGTATCACTGTATGTAATTACTGATAATGAGTCCTCACCCAAAGCTGAAAGAACAAGGTGCTATGTTGCTTTCATTGCTAACTGTTCTAACATGACTTGTTTTATCATATTTTAAAATGAATGACTGAACACTAATTAATTTGTCAAAAATTCACTTAGTCAGCAATGTTCAGAATTTGTTTAGAACCAAAAAACCTGGAGTGAAATAACTTTACATTATAAACCTAATACATTAATCTACCCATCATATTTCCTATAAATATGTTTTTTTAGTTTGAAGCACAGTGATTTAAGTGGAGCAATTCTTTTTGTTACTAGTAGATATATGTTATGTCGTATGGCTAACCTATGATTGAGGGCACTGCATCCACCAATCCTCAGCAGACTAAATGCAACTACGTTTTAATGTAACAAAATATATTTTCTGAGGTGATAAAATATACAAGTATTATTTATGTAACTATACTGAGGAATACAGTTCATATTAATGTAATAATGTTTATACCTATCACCTAAAAATACTCTCTTAATTTTGGTAATTTACTGATCATTCTTTAATTCCATTCTTATATTGCATTGCAGTATTTTCTTAAAATGTGCAAACAGTGATCAGAGATGGGATTAGATGTTTGGCCAGGATGATCCAGACATCATGGTATGGCCTCACTTTGATAGACTTACTGGTCCTCACTTACCTGTCATTTTCATATACTTAAGAAATACTTATATTCATTCTTCCCTTTTTTTCTCCAGTAGCTTTATTCATAGTGCATTTCTCATGGATTTGTGGTTCTTGCCGTAGCGGTTATGAGTGTACTTTTGCTTAGCAACATTACACATCATAAAACTTGCACTTACCATTTTGTATCTTCATTACGGTTCAAACAATAGTGACATATACTGGCATAATGCTAGTGTGGTGTCCATGTGCAATTGGCCATGTGATGGGCCCATTAACAACTCAGTTTCAATTTAACTATTGGTTTTCTGGCTTGCTTGCCGGGGATCGAGTATTTGCATCAGTGAGAAAATGAGACTGTTGGCATTGCCTCTAATCCAACTAAATTAATTTTCAATGTCCCAGTTGACTAATTGTTTGTTATATGTCACTGAGTCAAAATCCTGGAACTCCCTCTGAACGGCATTGTGGGTATACCAGCAGCAAATGTACTGTTGTGATTCTGGACATAATTTTCCTCCTCATTTTGGGAAGTGTTGCCTGACTACTGCACTGGGATGAGCTACGCAGAACAAGATGCATCATCCTTGTTGGGACATTCTGCACTGTTCCACCAGACTGATCCAGAAAGCTGGAACATTTCTTGAGGATACCAATAGTCTGCTCTATGTTCACCCATGTTGCCCCATGGAGAGAGTATTGTACCTCACCTCAGCCTTCCAGAGTAGGTTCCACAAAGGTATCAGTATCCATGACCTCATTGCATAGCCCTTGTTCCACAGATCAGATTTTGTGTGGAGATGTATTCTCCAACCACAGAAATGGAATAACCCATGCTGAACCCACTGACTCAGTTCTTGTCTGGTTGGCAGGATGTGATGATTGAAGCCTGCAGGGATCAACTTTTTACAATTACATTAACGGCTTAGATGAGGGGGCCCAAGGCATGGTAGCAGATTTTGTAGATGACAACAAGATTGGATAAAAAATATATTGTGAAGACATAGAACAGGACGCAAGAATGGTCCTGACAGGGTTGCTGTGGTGATTCACAGTGATTTCACTTGTGGTGATTCCAGAATTATTACCATTGTTTTAAAATTAGGGATATACTTTCAGGACAGAAATGAGGATTTCTTTTTCTCTTGAGATTGTGTGACTGTGGAACTCTGCCTCAGAAGTTAATAGAGGCAGGGTCATTAAATATTTTTAAAGCAGACATAGATGCCTATTAGGCAGGGGAATCAAACATCATCAAGTTAGATGGGGAAAGTTCATTCAAAATGCAAACAGACCAGCCATGATCTTATTGAACAGAGGAGAATACTTGTGTCTCAAATGGTCTCCCTTACTCCTATTCCAGGTTTGTATGATGGGTTGAATGACCTCCTTCATTTTTACCACCATTGAATGCTTCTGTAATTTACTTCCTGTAAAAAGATTCCCTTTTTTTTACCCTATTCTACTCTTTGCCAGCCAGGGTTGCCTAGATTTGGAAATCCCAGTTCTTTGCATGGGAGCATATTTGCTTGGAACCTTCTCTATCTATCTCCTCCTAAATGCCTTTCACAGCTTTGAAACTGACTTACCTTCAAGTAGTTGCTTCCAGTTCATATTTACAAAATTGCACCTCAAATTGGTGAAACTGGCCTTTCCTCAATTTAGAATGTATATTCCTGGTTTATTTTTGTCTTTTTTCATAACTAAGTTAAATCAAGTTGAATTATTATCACTATACTCCTTCCATTTGTCCAGCTTCAGTGCTTAAAAATAGATCCAGAATTGCCCCTTCTTAATATGAACGAACAGTTCTGAAGAAATGACACTGGACCTGAAACACTAATTCTGCTTTCTGTCCACAGATGCTGCCAGACCTGCTGAGTTTCTCCAGCAATTTCTATGATTATCCCTTTTCTGTTTCAGAGTTCAATAAAGTGGTCTCATTTTATGATGTTTTGAATGTATAATCTCTCTTCCCAGCTATGATTCTTTCTGAGTGATGAATTTTGAAACATTGGCCTATCAGACTTTATAATGTTGTCATCTGAGAATCTGTCCTTTATATATAGAAGCTGAAATTTAGCCATCAACTTCATGGTTCGGAGAAGTTGACTTGAAACTCTCGTATTAATTTGCCAACTGTGTTAGTATGTTCTGATCAAATTTGGCGAGAGACCTGCAAATTTACAGTTAACTTCATTTTCATCCTGGTGTTATCTCACTTGATGCACAAAACGGAAATAGATGCCAGAATTTTAAAGCAAATTTTAATTCAAATTTATTTTCTGAATTTGCAGGAATTACAGCAGGAACATGCAAGGCAGGCTTTTATGCAGAGGGATACAAATAAGAGCGGCAGCATTTCTGTCATGGATTTCAAGGACATCATGGTCACTGTTCGCCCACACATGCTGACTCAATTTGTGGAACAATCCTTAGTAACAGTAAGTTGCATCATTATATTGAGTGCACACATTCTGTGGAATGCTTAAAAAATATAAATACAAACAATTGTATTCATAGATTACAGTCATACTTTCAACAGTGAAGATTACAGTCATATGTTCAACAACGAAGGCCTCTGCAATGTTTTAAAATAATGAATTCAGTGAAATTATTTTCCACAAAATACTTTTTACAAATAGTTTTTAAAGTGTCTCTTGTGAGACTGAGTGAGAAATTGTACTCGAAGCAGGCAGGAAATCAATGAGGCATTGATTAATATGGTGGTCTGAGGCCCATACTAAAGTTGGCATTAGGTGTCATTTCGATGAAAGCATTAAGCTGCAAAAAGGGCATCCCAAAGCAAAATGCTGATTTTTAAAACATTCATTGATGGGATGTACATGCTGGCAACACCAGTATTTATTGCCCATCTCTCGTTGGCTTGCTTGTCCATTTCAGAGGGCAGTTAAGACTGAACTAAACTACTCTGAGTCGGCCAGAGTAAAAATTGCAGATTTCCTTCCACAAAGGACATTAGTGAACTAGGTGGGTTTTTATGATAATCAGCAGTGGTTATGTGGTTACTATGAGGCCAACCGTCCTGGATTCTTTAAAAAATGAGGTCCAGTCAGTTCTGGCCACCCTCTGTACCTGAGCTGGCCCACAGGAGGGTTTTTGAGAAGGATGTTTTTTCTGAAGAGTCACATTGGACTCAACATTAAATTTATTTCTCTCTTGGAAGATGCTGCCAGACCTGCTGAGTTTGTCCAGCATTTTGTTTTTATTTAAGCCTCGGAATAGTTCATGGACTTCTTCCAACTTCACAACAATATAATATTTAAATAATTTTGTGATGATTTTTTTAAGCACCTTTAAGGACAATTAGTGTAGGATCCTAATTTGTACAATAAAGCAGCCTTGGGCACACAGCATCAGGTAGGCCTTGCGTGCCAGTGGAGAGGTTAAGGTGAAATGCCTTTTCAAATCCTGACCGCTTGTATTTTGACTGTACAAAGAATGGCTATGAGTTGCACTTCTCCCACCCCCTCAAAGTCCCTTGTTAGTTGGGAGATTTGCAAATATGCAATGCCTGTAATAAATTGTCTATTTTATAGCGAATAGTTTTCAAATGCAATAAACTAAGACAAATGCTGTTGTAAATTGCTCCTAGTATGCATATGTGTTTTTTTTTAACTTTCAAGAAATGGATTATGTTCTGCTAATAATCAGTTGTTGTAGAAACTTGTGGTGGATAAGGTCAGTTTAAACTATTTAAATATTGTTAACCCTAAGTAACTGTCTGTTGTGTATAAGAAGCATTTGACAGATGTGTTTCTTATACAAAAGATGTGAATGACTTTACATAAGTAAAATTTGCTATTTTTGTTTCCCTTTATTACTTGTAGGCAGCTGGAGGTTCTCCAAACCGTCAAGTCAGCTTCTCCTACTATAATGGTTTTAACTCTCTCCTTAACAACATGGAGCTCATTATAGGAGTCTACCATACTATAGCTGGCTCCGGTAGAATTATGAAAGTTGGTAAAGGTTAGGATTTCTGATTATGCCTTCCGGATATTTCCCAGGTTTAAAGGGGGGAAAGATATGCATAGTTTTTAACAAAAAAAATCAGTAACTGATTTCCTGGCTTAGTCTGTGGCACATCCTTTGACTACTGTGTTCTAGCTCTTTAATCTGTTTTAAACTACTTTGTTGTTTTTTTACTTTCATTTCAATTTAAAAGTTTAAGTAAGCCAGAGTCAGATACATGGGGATTTTAAAGGCTTTAACAAACTAGGCTGACATCCAAATTGGTACTTTATAAAACAGCTTTATGGTACAGATTAAGTATTCTGTAACTTAAACTACTGTACAGTAAGATGCCCTATATACTTGAGCTGAGATCTTAATCATCCTTATTTGACCAACTGTTTATTTTTACTTCAGCTAAAAAAATGTCATTAGTTAGACCTATTCAGACAAAGGCATGCAAATCTCCACATACCCTTTTTGCACTGACTCACATTTGATTAGTACTCTATGTCCAAAAGTAGAAGATATATTGTCAAGTGGCACAGTTGCTTCCTAATATTAAATAATGGAGCAATATATTGTGTTATGTTTTTCTTCAGAGGAATTTACTCTTGCTGCACAAGAACTTGGTCAAGTGACACCTATGGAAATTGATATTTTATTTCAGTTATCAAGTCTCAATAACTCAACTGGGTGAGTTGGAAGCCACAATGTACTGTTTTTGGTGTTTAAAAATACTATATTTATCTATTAAATTTAATATTGTTAGAATATGTTCATATACAGAGCACAGATGATGCTGAAATACCTCTACTTACAAGTCTTTTGCATTTCACCAAAATTTAAACTGAAATTTGAAGGCCACACACACCCACTTGGTATACAACTGTGGAATAAAGAGCAGAAAGGCTTACAGCTATGCACTTTAATTGTTTTAATTTATTGACTATTGAAATTAATCAATTACTTAAGCTATTGCTTGAGAAGTATATTGAATAGTAATATTATCACATTTTTGTTTCTGACATAAAAATTTTATGGGTTTAATGGTGATCAAGTGTATGTTGTGAAGATTGATAGATTATCATGAAGTATTTTCCATCTTCAGTAATTACTAACAAATGTACCGTCACACAAGGCTTTTGAAATTTGAATAATTTAATGTCGAACCTATTTTAATGTTTGAAATTTTAAAGCAGTGGATCCTAACTTCTCCTTCCACCCTTTAGTTTGAATTTAAAAAGTAATGCACAGTAATTTCTATAGGTTTTCTTTGATCATTCTGTTATAGTTCTACCTCTGTCCCTTGACTGTTATTTTGCTTATATGTGTTATAAAAGTTTTTCCTATTTTTCATTGTGATCTGTCAATCTTTCTCTAAACTTTATCTTCGTATTTTTAATTATTTTAAATTTCTTTCACATTTTTGCACTATTGCAGCTATTAACTTTTTATTTGTAACACTGCTGATATTAGTTTCTTATTTCAGCCTGCTTCTCCATTTATCTAAGGAAAATGGCACTGACCTTTGCACTCGCAAATGCGACATGAGCTCTTGATGTGTGAAGTCCAAGTCTTTGATTTGTAACAAATGGTAAACTGTTAATTCCTCTACATAAGATTTCTAATTTCTTTTTTCTATAGATACATCACATTAGCAGACCTTAAAAGAATAGCACCTCATGGGGAAGGAATCTTGCCGTATTACCTGAGAGAATCTACGGTGAGAGGGTTGCACGATATTATACAGGACATTTTTATCACATTTTTGATTATTGCATTGTAGAAAGCTTCAGAGTTAGTAGCTGAGTTGAAACTTTGACCTGTTTCTGACTTGAAATTTTATGAACTAAAATATTGTTGCTAAAATAGTATTTAATTTGACTGTTAATAATTTGTTAATTAAACTAGATTAGAAACAGAAATGCCTATATTTCTTTCCACTCCAAACCAATAATAATCTATCATTTCAAATCTGTTTCTAGTATTAGAGGTAGCCTCTAACTCTTTGATATAATGGCATGCAGATACACAAATGCACCATTTTTTTCATTAATGCATTTGGCATTTAAATTAAAATATTGATTTCTGTTCTACTACCTGCTTTTTTCTGTCATCTTTGTTGGGATGTGAGCTTTGCTGGAAAAGTCAGTATTTGCTGCCCACCCCTAATTGCACTTCAGAAGGTGTTGGTCAGCTGCCTGCTTCAATCCATATGGGGCAGGCACAATCACAGTATTGCTAGGAGGCGAGTTTCAAGTTTTTATTGCAACGACACTGAAGAAATGGCAATATAGTTCCCAGTCAGGTTATGTGTGATTGGAAGGAACCTTGCAGGTGGTGCTGTTTCTGGGCATCTTCTGCTCTTGTCCTTTTGTTTGGTAGATGGCAGGTTTGAAAAGGCTATTCAAGGAGGTTTGGTGAGTTGCTGCAATGAATGTTGTAGATGGGACAGACTGGTGCCATGATGCTGTCAGTGATGGAGAAAGTGAATGTTTAAGATGGTAGATAAGATGCCGATTAAGAAGGCTGTGTTATCCTGCATGATGTTGAACATCTTGAATGTTGGTGGAGCTGCAATCATCCAAGCAAGTGGAGGGATTTCTGTCACACTACTGATCAGTGATTCCTCTATTTTCATTTCTTCCACGTAATCTTGGAGGTCCATGTGTGGTATTGACTTCTGGAGCTGGAAGTTAATGCTGCATTTGGCATCAGCATGCTGATCACTGTGCGTGGAATGTCAGGGCATCTACACTCAAGCAAACTGAAGGGCATGTTGCTACTGACCTATGCCTTGTAGATTGTAGTCAGAAGAGTGTTGGAGAGTGAGCTGAGAAAATATATCAAAGAACGAAACTGGATGGACCAATCGGCATCAACACAAGCATTGGAAATGATCATCGTGTACCCTGCCCAATTGATACTGTAAATTCCTTTTTACAGGAGCCTATGCCAAAATTAGAAGAAGATGTCTCGCAGATCATTTAAGCAATAGCCTCATATAGTTGTATTCACTAAAAACATATCTTTGAGCCCATGTCTTGACTTCTGCATCAAAATCTTTAGATGTGTGTGTGTCTCTCTCTCTCAGAGGAAGACCACCAAAGGTGGTAACACATGATATACATTTGCGAGGGAGTTGCCCTGGAAATTTGAACATTTAATCAGGGCTTGTGAAGCCTCATTGCACCAGGTGAGACATAGACAAGGAAAGCTTCTGCTGTTCACCACACAACCTTCCCTCAGCTGATGCATTGGTACTCCTCCACAATTAATACCACTTGCAAGATGCCCTTAGTAGCAAGGTCACAGAATGTACTCTGGGAGCAGGAATTCAATGCTTATTACCAGAACTGGCTTACCAGCCAGGACTGACTGAGCTGGCTGTGTCCTGAGTATTATTGGCACCTTCCTGAAAATATGGAAAATTGCCCAGGCATGTCCTGTTTACAAGAAGCAGGGCAAATCCAAATTATAGCTTTTTAGCCTACTCTCAATTGTCACCAAATTGTAGAAGAAATTCTCAATAGTGCTTTCAAGCAGAACTTACACAGCAAATAACCTGCTCGCTGATGCCCAAATTAGGTTCCTCTAAGAGAATGGCTTCTGATCTCATTCTTGCCATCATCCAAATATGATCAAAAGAGTTAACTTCCAGAGGTGAGTTGGGAGTGACTGCCCTTAACATCAAAGCAGCATTTGACTGAGCATGGCATCATCAAACCGTGGCAAAATTAAAAGCAGTGGGATTCAGATCTAAACTCCCCATTCATTGCAAATTTACTCTGCACAAAGAAAATGGTTGTAGTTGTGGGAGGGCATGTGTCTCAGCCTTATAATATTGCTAGTTCAGCAGGGTAGTGTCCTAGGCTCAGCCATCTTCAGCTGCTTCATCAATGACTCTCCTTCATCATAATGTCAGAACTGGAGATGTTTGTTGATGATTGCACAATGTTCAGTACTATTCACAACTCTTCAGACACTGAAGCAATCTGTATCCATACGTAGCAAGACTGGGACAACATTCAGGCCTGAGTTAATATGTGGCAATTACCAGTCATGCCACACAAGTGTCATTATGATGCTGATCTCCAACAAGAGAGAATCAAACCACGTTCCTATGATAATCAGTGGCATCAATACTACTGAATACTCTGTTAACAAAATTCTGGGGGAGTTATTGTTGATCAGAAACTGAACTGGATCAGCCATACAAGTATTGTGTGGCTACAAGACCAGGTCAGAGGCTACGAATTCTGTGGTGTGTAACTCAACTACTGACTCCGAAGCCTGTCCACTTTCTACAATGCAATAATCAAAAATTTGATGAAAGACTTTCAGTTACATGAATGAGTGTGGTTTCAGCAGCCCTGAAGAAATTTAACACCATCCAGAGCAAAGCATCAAGCTTGATTGGGACCTCATCCACGAGCCCAAACATTTGTTCCCTCCACTATTGATCCAGTGTATGTTATGTGCAAGATTCATTGCTACACCTCAACTGGGCTGTTTCGACAGCATCTTCAAACTGTCAATGTCCAGGACTTTGAAGGACAAGCACTGCAGGTACATGGGAACAACACCACCAGGAAGATCTCTTCCCAGCCCCACACAATCCTAGGGATTGGAACAATATTTCTATTTCTTCACTGTCACTTGATCATACTCCTCGAACTTCCTTCCAAACAACACTGTGAGTGTGTCTACACCATATGGACAATGGGTAAAGTACAGTGGTTTACCACTGCCTTCTCAAGGGTAATTCAGGATAAGCAACAAGTATTGCCTTTGCTGGCAATGTCAACATTGCACGAAACAATAATAAAAAATATGCATCCGTCCATGGTGAGAGTAATCCCGTAACATTGTGCTGTAGAACAGAGAGACCTAGCAATTGAGGTACATAGTTCTTTGAAGTTTGTGCCACGTGTAGTCAGGGTGATTAATAAGGTATTTAGCACGCTTGCCTTCATTGCTCAGACCTTTGAGTATAAGATTTGGGATGCCATGTTGAGGTTGCACAGGATGTCGGTGTGGCCTAATCTGGAGTTTTGTATCCAGTTCTGGTCGCCCTGTTATAGGAAGGAAATTAAGCTAGAGAGGGTTCAGAAAAGATTTACCAGGATGTTGCTGGGAATGGAGGGTTTAAGTTAGGAGAGGGTGGATAGGCTGGGACTTTTTTCACCGGAGTGTAGGAGTTTGAGGAGTGACCTTATGTAAGTTTATAAAATCATAAGGGGTATAGATAAGGTGATTTTTTTTTAATAGAATCCATACAGTGTGGAAACAGCCCAACAAGTCCACATCAACCCTGCGAAGTGGTTCCCACCCAAACCCAACTCCTTACCCTGTCCCTGTAACCCTGCATTTCCAGTGGCTAATGCACCTAACCTACACGTCCCTGAACACTATGGGTAATTTAGCATGGCCAATCCACCTAACTTGCACATCTTTGGACTGTGGGAGGAACTGGAACACTTGGCGGAAACCCATGCAAACATGGGGGGATGGTGCAAACTCCACAGACATTTGCCCGAGGGTGGAATTGAACTTGGATCCCTGGTGCTGTGAGGCAGCAGTGCTAGTCGCTGAATCAGTGGCAAGTGTCTTTTCCCTGGGGTTGGGGAGTTGAAGACTCAAAATGTATAAAGTCCCATTGAAACCATACAAATTGCCAATTAAAAGCACTTCATACCATGTTTCATCAGTAACAGTAAAATAACTATTATAGCACACTTAACTTTAACAAGAATAGTGAAAAAAGTCTATGGTCATGCAACTTAAACTATACCCCTTCAAAAACACCAAAGACACATCCATACACATTTATTATTAAGATAGACAAAAAGAGAAATGGTTTAACACATAAAATGAAAATAGATAGGGTAAACACAATTCTGAAGATCATAAGTCCAGATCACAAGATGGAACGTTACTTTTTTCAGTCATTTTGATTACGGGATGATGACATGCTGCTGTCCAAAGGGTGATGGTTATACGTCTTTTGCATTAGAATTCTTTCCTTTAAGCATTCTTGTTTTCCTGTCTATTTAAAACATGGGGAGACAGTGTGGAGAGATGGCTGCTTTCTGTCTACAGACATTGGGAGTTTCCCTCTGTTGCCCTGGCACTTGCAGCTTTTTAACACTGTACAACTCTGTTTTTTCCTTCACAGATGCTGCCAGACCTGCTGAGCTTTTCCAGCAACTTTGTTTTTGTTCCTGATTCACAGCATCTGCAGTTCTTTCGCTTTCATGTCAACAAATAAACGGGCTGTTGTTGGGCAGAATTTTCTCAACTGTCATGATTTTTGGTACCTCACAATCTCTAATTCTTCCTCTCACCTCTTCAAAAGGTAACATTCTATTACACAACTGTCAAAATATGCAGCACTTAATTTTTACGTTGCAAAGCTAAAGGAAATGAAATATCATTGTAAATGAATTCCATTATCAGGTAAACTGACACATTATACAATACAACATGAAAAGTACATTAATTCAAGCTCATAGCACAGAACAGTGCAGCACGGGAACATGCAGTTTGGCACACCAAGTCTGTGCTGAGCATGTTGCCATTCTAAACCAATTCCATCTGCCTGCACCTGGTCCATATTCCTCTCTTCCCTGCATGTTAATGTGTTTGACTAAAATATTAATATGACTATTTTAAATTGCCATCATGCTTTTGCATAAATGTTGTATGTTACAAGAACATAAC